GAAGTGCGCTGGCTGTCACGAGGGCAGGTTTTGAAACGAATTTTCATGTTGAAGACAGAAGTATCACTTTTTTTAGAAGAAAAAAAAAGATAACTCACTCTTCGAATATTTCAAGAAAAAAGATTTTATATGTAAATTGGCTTACCTGGCAGACATTTTTAACCACATGAACGATATATGTCTTTCAATTCAAGGGCCTGATACAACAATTATGGATGCCACTGAGAAACTACAGGCATTTTTATTGAAAATGTCACTTTGGAAAATTAGAATTCAAAATGGGATATATGCAAACTTTCAAATGTTGGACGAAGTGCTTTTTGAAAATGGATCTCGGAAAGATAGTTTGTTATTGAATAACTTGAAAAATGAAATCTGTGAACACCTGGAAGTACTTCAAGTTTCATTTGAAAAATATTTCAATTCGGATGGAATAAATATAAAAGATGAGTTGTGGATTCGTAATCCTTTTCTTTGTGATATTGACTGTATCGATGACATGAACCTTGCCAAAGATGAGCTAATTGATTTGAAAACAAAGTCCTTGTTAAAAATGGATTTCGATTCAAAAACTCTTGGAGAGTTTTGGTCTTCTTTAAGAGAAGCCTACCCATTGCTTGTAAAACGAGCTATGGCAGCCATTATTTCCGTTTGCTACAGTATATATCTTTGCGAAGCGGGATTTTCCACACTTGTCACAATAAAAACAAAACATCGAAATAGACTGAATGTCGAACATGATATGCACGTTGCTTTGTTGAAACCCATCCCTCAATTCAATCTGTCAATCAAGGAAAAGCAGCAACAGCCTTCACATTAAAATTTTAATTTTTTCAAATTTTTTATACTATTGAAATAAAAATATTAAAATAATTAAATAACAAAACAGAATATATTTTCTAATAAATGATGTTTAAGCAATATTTTTTCACAGAGGGGTCCGTGACATATTTAAAATTTTTAAAGTGGTTCATTGTGCCAAAAAGTTTAAGAAACACTGATCTAGGTACCAGTTTACAAAAAAAAATTGTTCTTTAAATTTCTTCCGGCATTGTAATCAGAGTACGTTCCGCGACGTAAGGCGCTTAGGGATATAATCTTCGGATAAGGTCCGGATTACAGACTTCGTACTGTATTTATCAAATTCTTTTTTACGCTTAATTTTAACAATACACATTCTAAAAATTCTACTTTACTACTTCCTTAAGTATGCATCTCATAGACTGTGCTTTACACCTTTTAATAATAGACTGTTTCTTACCACGAACAATTCTTGCTTAAACACATTTGTGAACAGAATTTCAATTTATGTTTACAATTAAATGTTAAGGTTATTACACAAAAACACTAAACTCAGTGGCGTAACAGCCCTAATGGGCCAAGGCCAGCAGTGCCCGAAAATCTGCTTTCTTGACCGTGGGCCCCGAGGTGCATAAACATATGCCCTAATCAAGTGGTCAGCTTGTCGCAGAACCCCCAGTGTTTAGTCCCCAAGTGAACTTGGTACTCATTTTATCGACACAAGTGATGGAAATCAAGGGATGAAACGCTGAGCCGACCTTGCCCAGGCCGGGAATCGAACTCCGGACTGGTGCTGCTGCGCAATTCGCTAGCCACTGCGCCACCGGGCCTTAAGGTTACTATATATTTAGATAATATTTACAATCACTATAAATTTAGATATATTTAATAACTACATTTCTTCACGGTAACATTCAGAGGAGTTTATGAATGAATAAGTACTTCATTTCCAAATACATTTATAAATAATTTAATAAATATTTAGGTATTTTGTTAAAAGCAAATACATGCTTTTTACAAGGATATGCATAAATCACCATATATATTTAATACTTTTCATTTTCAGCCTATGCAAATCTTTTAATTTCTGTGCATTCACTATATTTTTTTAATAAAGTAATTTACAATAATTTAGCATATATCAGAACTTTTTATATAAGAAATATGTATAAATATAAATTGAATGAAAATTACAGGCAATATTTTTAATACACACTCGAGGCTTATTTTTCCTTCGAAATTCCCTCATGAAAGCATCTCTCCCCTTAGGCAGATAGTGCTTGCATGCTTTACCCTATTTAGAAAACCTAACCTGACCTATCTGCCTAGGTAAAATATTTTAACATGCATAATTTCATATTCACATTTAGACATCAAGTTTCCCACCTTTGACTTGTTTTTAGATATATTCATTAAAAATTTCGGTTCTACTCTTATATGTGCTCTAAGATCACCAAATGTGGCGATATGTGTCCTGTGCTGGTTTTTGGCATGATTGCGTGTTGTATGGCAACCCTTTTGACGTTGAAAACTCTTTTGCTGGAGTAGTTTAATTGCTCAATGATTCGTGTCATGTGTGTTTTGAAATGGCCTATGTTGCAATGAGAGACATGGTTGCAAGAGGGTCTGGAAGATTATTTTTAGTGGCTGTGCATGATAGAAGTAAGGAAATGGTGATGCAGTGTATTAAAGAGTGGACTGAGCCTTGTACAACTATTTTTCAGATAACTGGAAATCTTGCAAGGATTTAGGAAAAGAAGGTTTTGAATATTTATTTGTGAACCATAGTATGAATTTTGTGGATAACGAGCCTGGCTGTCATATAAATACCATAGAGAGTACGTGGCGGCATGTTAAAGCTACGTTCTGCTGTCCAAAGAAACATCTATTATTGTAAGTGCATTTTATTTTATTGTTTTTATTTTGTAGAATGTTATGTTTATTGTTTTTTTGCTATGAATTTCTGTTGGTATTGTTATTTTTTTGAATTATTTGTAATTTATTTTAGTTATTTTAGTTTACTTTGTTGATTTGTGCGCAATGCCTAGACTGTGCAATTCATAGATGTTTTTTTAAGTTTAAAAAACAGAATGCTGTGTACATGGTATTCTTTGAAATTTATTAAAGCGAGGTGTGCATAGTTCGTAGATTCCTTCACTGCCCATATTGTGCAATTCATAGATGTTTTTAAGTTAAGACATATCATTGTGTACATGGATTCTTGTCTATTATTTTTGGTTAGAAACTTTATGTTTTTGCCATCTAAATTTTTTGTTTTTGTTTCGGATTTTTAGCTTAAATTGTGTGTTTAAAACGTCGTTTTTTCATGCGCAAAAACCACGTTTTTGGAGACATTTTAGGCTTAAAGTTTGAAATGTAGACAAAACATTTAGATAGTAATATGGCACCATGGAGTTTCTTGCCAAAAATGTTTGGGGAGAAATTTGGCGACTTGAGGGCGCATATAAGAGTAGTTCCAAAATTTCAAATATTCTAGTAAATATATTTTAGTACAGCATTCAATACCTCTCTTAGCAATCTTACCCAATTTAATAGTTCTCCGATAATATTATAAATAACAACTTTCCATTTCACATTAAACATTAACCTCATTGTCATCAGATTACAATCATGTCACCTTACTCTATGTACTCATTTTTTGAAACAGTCAAAACTATTAATTGATCTAAATTCACAAATACCTGAAGTTTACATATTGCAAGGTAATCCAAAATGTAACAATATGTAAAATATATTGATATACCAGTTAATAATATTGACATCATCTTATTTTTAAATTCCTAATAAGGTGTCATAATGATGTGGCATGTTCACATGGTCACATTAACTTGACCACACATGGCACTTCCACCGAATTGGCAAATATTTCTGTATACAATATTACACAAATATATGGGTGAAAATGAAGAAAAAGTTAACTTATTACCACATTTGTCTATATATTTATTAATTTTAACGGCTGCAGGATTTGGAGGTAATTTCCTTTTTCAGTTAAGATAAATAAGCCCAAAATGATTATTTTTTAATTATATGAAAATAAAATGATGAGTTTAAAATCAGCAACTATGGCTCTCACCTAAAAATTTTTAAAAAGTGCGTATTACAGTGTTATGTGGATGATGAAAAATATACTTTATTTAAAACATTTTGATATTTGGAACATAAAAAAATGTAGCAAATAAGGGCATCAAAAGAAGCATAGAAATTTTTAATGCTTATACCAGTTAGTTATAAGGAAATTGAGCTTTAAAGTGTTATATTTTTACAATATTTTGACATTTTAAAGGTACCTTAAGATAGTACCATTTTTTACACATAACACAAACATTTTGCTAAAATCTATATTTTTATCAAGTAGCTTAAAATTTTATGAAACAAATTCATGATCAAAATCACTGTTGCAAGTTATTGAAAAATAATTAAGATGTGATTTTTTCATAAACGCCACTAAACTATACAAACTGCTATCACCCATCCAATAATGAATATTTCTTTTATGCGGAAGTGTTCCAACTTTTTGATTTGTGCAGAACTGTCATGGGTGGAAGTACCATCAAACTGCTGTCAACATGCTCTGGATGTAAACAAAACACACCCGCTTTGGAGACTAAAACTCGACAGCACTGTGTCCGGTATAGTGCGGGGATGGCATCTTCTTTTATTTTTACCTCAATTAGCTTTTCATATGACAAAAACTTAAAGCTACTTTAATTTTGGTTCTAGAGTGAATTCTCACATGATGTTTGTTTCAAAATCCTTGTAAAAAATTAAATTTTAATGTAAAATCTTAAAAACATTTTATTACTACTTAAAGGTACCTGGCAATGATTCTTCAACATAAAAAATTTATACTTCAATTACATTATTATGTTTATGTTATTTTTCTGTAAAATTTAACTTCAGAGATAAAATAAGGAGAGCAAGCTGTAACTTTCAATATGATAAGAGTTCCAGAGATATAAGTATCATGTCTTAATGATATCATTTTTATTCACTGGAAGGATGACTGGAAAGCATGTGCTTTTTAATACTTTTAATGAAAGTACTGAGCCTATTTTTGTCTTAAAGTTACTTATAATTTCTTTAAATATTTGAAAATGCAGAAATTTTATATAAAATACACTAGAATTTCAATATTTAATCTGATTTTATCACACTTATTTTATTAAAAAACAAACCTTTGCTTGATAATCGGGATTTTCAATCTGGCATGTGACTTTCATAGCTTCTTGATAAAAGCATGCTTGATACAATGACTGAGCATAGTACAGCTTATAATCATCAACTTCAGGGCAAACAACGGTCAGATGTTCATAGCAGTTCGCAGCATTGACAAAATCTTGTGTGAAATAATAGCAGTAGCCAAGAAGAGAAAGAGCAGCTCTAGACTATGTAAAGTACATAAATAAAATTACACATGATATATATATCAAAAATTGTTACTTCTGTTTCAGTTAGTTAATAACTATATGTGTAAAGGAAATACAGACTGACTGTGAGTTAATTACAGAATAAAATTATTAAAAAAAAAGGCAACAAAATTTTTATTATAACTTTCTTGAGACTTTAAGATAGATACTTACATTTGTGTTTGCCTGGAACTGCTGGTTGAGTACAGCAATTGCCTCTTTAAACAAACCTTCTTTAATCTGAAATAGTATAATGATCAAAATTAAAAAAATAATAGCACATCAAAGAACAGTGCTTACATGCTACGCAAACAAATATGAAAATGAATACTGAATCTATAATTTTTTTAAAAATTTTTATTTTTACCATGCTGTAAATAGTTTTGGTGTATTCTCCATCATTTATGTGCGCCATTCTACTTACTGCAAAGACTATACTATGTAAAACTTATTAATGTCAGTTTCGGATTTCTGATTTTCAAGAAACACATGTCACGGGAATCCATCGTGTCAATAAATCCATCTAACATAGCAACCGTCAAATTTGAATCCAAACATCGATGTTGCTATGTAAACAAAACTTTATTTCTCATCATTAAACGAGATTTTTGGCCGACTAAATTTAAACAAATATTTCTTGAGGCTTAACGTTAGCTTAAGACACTAATTTAGAATTTTATTACAAAATTTTAAATGTATTCATATAGTTTAGAATTTTATTCTGTTTACCTTTAGTCTCATACAGTAAAATTGTAATTTAAAAATTTCTTCTTTAGTATATAGTACCCCCTCTCCGTTTACACAAGTAGCTATTAAATGGCAAAATATTTCCTCATTAAAATTATACATAGTTACCCTAAATTATCCAAAGAAAACTCTTATGAAGGAGTGTATTATCAAACCATGATTTTTAATATTCTATTAACTAATTTAAAATAAAATAAATGATGAATATGTAAAATAATTACCTGAAAATCGGTTGCCAATTTCTTTATATCTACAGAAATAATTCGTTTGCAGTTTCGTTTCAATAATGGAGAGAATAGAATGGCGAGAAACATTTCAACGTCAACCCGCTTATTATTTATTTGTAGATTTGAGTCTTCCGATGTCAGTGGACAATGTGAATCTAATATGCCAAATGTTACAAAATTTAACAACATTATCGATTTCTTTGAAAGGTTCCCTCCGATTCTCAGTTTTAGGGATCTTCGCTTTAAGTGGAAAAATCAAATGCATATTTCCTTTACAATCAGTTAAGAATAATTACACGAAACTCCAGGTATCATTAGAAAGTATGCAAAGTACGCATACCATTTTCACTAGTGTTAATACATTTGACAGGGAAGAATTGTCAGAGAGTCTGCAGAATGCTATACAACAGTATGAAATTTATTTTCAGGTAAGTAGATTTTGTTCTAAGATTTTCCTTTCAAATTATGAGGAAGAAAAAGATATTCTTCTTTATAAATTATTCTGGTTAATTTATATGACATGTAATGCAAATTAGCAATTAAATAATCAACAATACTGAATAATTTTTTTTTAAATAGCCCAAAGAATTAAAGGAAAAAGCATTAAGATATTTTTCAATCTCTTCTTCTTTTTTTTTTTTTTTTTTTTTTTTTTTGTTGATCATTAATCTTTCAGAAAACAAAGCTTAACCTGCAAAATCTGATGAGCTAAGTGCGTTCAACGAATGAGAAAAATTGAGGGAATTCAAAACCCTTTAGGTGTTAAGAATTTATGTCAATATTTCTTTTGTAAATAGTTTTGTATTTATTGTTTCCAGCTACTTCTTAATGGTAAAAAAGGGAACAAATATTACATTTTAAAATGCCTAAAAAATGAAGGCTTTTAATGATTTTCTACTGTGTGAAACCTATCCTTCCAGTTCAGAGTAAGTAAAAATATGTGTGGAGCGTGAGCTTTTATTTTCCTAGGCTTGGGTGTCTCCTGACTTGGATATCACTGATTTTTTAATTAGTGTGTTAATATTTCTTGTTTATTATTGAGTAATTTAAAGTGCTTTTGACCTCAGAGTTAAGATTTTTTTCCTTTTTCTTTTTCATTTTTTTAAAAAATAATACTTTTGATCCTATTTTGGATGCTGATCCAAAATTAACGACGATATATTCGAGATTCATGAAACTATCTGAACTATTTTTATTGACGATTCTCACCCATGGTATGCTGCTTTGATAATTCAGCATAACTAGCAAGAATTTGTTGGCTTTGGGCATTATATAGAAGAAGAATGCAAAGAAAACAAAACGTTATTATTTCTTATCAGAAAATAAGGTTTCCTAACTGAATCTTGCAAGTTACATAGATGTAAATTTTAGTTCTTAAATAAATAAGTTGTGTTTGTGTATTTATATTTTGAGCTGTGTTTTGTATATATATTTCAAATAACACAACATATATTTATACACAACAAAAAACTCAACATATATGTTGTGTTTTGTATATATATATTTTAAAATATAAAAATTGAGAAATAACGATTGTATTATTTTAATACTTTCAAAAATATTTTGCTGTATTGAATTCTTATCTACTCTTACAATGATTCTTTTCTATCCGTGTTTTTCAAATATCCGGACTTTACAGAAGGACACCCCCCCCCAAAAAAAAAGGAAAATCTGCAGCAGTAATTTATGTAATCTGACTTAGTTGGTATTTCAGCTTAACATTTAAAATTGATATAAACTCATATCCTTACATTATAAAACTTACAAATGTACCAATCGATAAAGAAAATTATGTATTTTTCTTTTTCTTTTTTTCCCACATTTATGAGCATCAAACGTGTCAAAAATTTAATTTATATAAAGCGTGCCATTCCGCGATTATCATGTCAAAATAGTATTAAGGTATTTTCTGTCCTTGGAGTAAAAATGTTTTCTTCTACCATTGATTTGTCGCACCAGAAAAAGTATTCATGACAGACAATATAAAGTATTATTATCTGCATCTCAATAAAACTGGGAAATATCGCAGCTCGAAACCTCGAAACTTATGGCTAGTTTACATAACTCTAATGAAATATTGTCATTAATAAAGATCATTCATAATTTTTTGTAAACTGTATGATAAAAGAGAATAAAGAGTTCTTTAAATTTATATCCGATGCTCGGTTTTGTTTGGTTAGGTAGGGTAACCATTTTTGAATATGCTGAAGCTCTCCTATAAATGCAAATAAATATATTGTACGAACAAGTACTTACTTGCAGTAAGTATTAAAATATGTTTATCTACACAAATACATGATGCAAACTAGAATATTTGAAGGAGGTATTCGCAAATCTAAAAAGAAATTCCCAGGTTTCTCTAGACTTTTTCTATTTACAGTGCGACTTAAAAATAGATAAAATGAAATTTTAAAATAAATTTCTAAAACCTCTAATCATCCTTTGCTGATATATTTATGGCATTATTAAAAGAAATCCAAATTAAGTTCGGAATAAGATTACTTCTCCGAGAAATTAAATTGTCTTTTGTGTCAAATGTCATTGTCATAATGCTGTTGCTATGTATATTTTCATTCTCTTTATTTGTTTATCAATTGGTCATTAAGTTTTTGATATATGTCCTCCTGTAAATCTTAGTATGTTCTCAACATTAACCTGTTGCGATGCTATACATGCCGTCAGGTCAATATAACTCATAAATCTGTTCTAGCACATGACAGCCCTACTAGCTTGCGACGAGTTGGCATCTATACTTCGTGTTACTAAAGCTCCGAACGGAGGACAACTTGAGAGGTGTCCAGTCGGAAGCAAGAAAATAAGTTACGTTATTCCCCATTTAAAGAGCGACTGAGCAGGCGGGAATTCAATCGCTAAATCTAGGTGAAGACGAATTATCGTCCACCTCTTTTTATAGTTCGGACGCTATTGTACAGACGTTAGTTTTTTTATCGCATCAAAAACATGAAGAATCAACGAAGCCCTTGGCTAAGATTCAACTTCGAATTCCTCCTGGTTGCTAGCTGGACGGGATTTTAATTACACCTCGAAAACCGGCAGTAAGTACGAAGAAACTTCCTGGTATTTTCTCCCACTGACTGGGGAGGAGGGGACCTGCTTGCCATATCAAATCAAGATGAACTAGCGTTCTGGCCCCAACTGTAGAATCCTCAGTTTCGGAGCACGAAATGTGAACAACGAACAATGCCCTCTCCAGGATTCCAACTCTGGACCTCCCGACTGCTAGCGGAACGTGCTTACAATTTCACCACGAAGGCACGTGGTCAGGAACAAGAAAAATTCCTAACAAAACTATCTGAATCCCGTTTAAAAAAGAGTTGAATTCTAGCTTTGTGAATAGAAATTAACCAATAAAAACTACAGGTAGAAATGTGATTTGAAGCCATCATGAACAGATCTTCACCAAGATTGTTTGCTATGCTAAATTCACATAGAACTTCTTCCAGCATTCATCACCATGATCTCAATTCATTCTTTGACAGTCAGCGTCATGCAAGGTAACCTAAAATGACGTAATAACAAGCCATTAATAGTCCGTGTAAGTCAAATTCATCAGATCATTATTTCTTTAAAAATAAAGATATGAAAAGACTAACCTAAACCATTGAGTTTTGGTGAAAGTTTTAGCTTGATTTCTTATAGCATAAGCTCTCATTTCCATAGAAGAATTGCGGAAGTTCAAGAGAATGATCATCACGTTCTTGGTAGGTTCCTCACATCAGCATTTAGTTCACTTCCTGTAATAGTTTGAAAGATAAGTGCTTCAGTATTTTTTAACCATGTTTCGTATATATAATAGAATAAGGTTGATAACTCATAATAATTTTGCAGTTTAGTGCACAAAATAAGTAAGTATAAGACGTTCGGAGACAAATAAGTTTGTAAGATTTTAAGAATTAAGGAGAAACTCATGGTACAAAAATTGATGAACAGTTAAGAGGACTTGTAGAACTCTATTTTACGTATTCGTATTATCATAATTGTCTCCAATTAATTTGTTCAAGCCGAGAATTTCAGTTATACGCTGTACGCCTCAGAGCGCCATCTGCGTTTCAATAACCCTCTTTAATAACTGACTGGAAAATGTATTCTTTAAAGAAATGAAACATTACTTATAACAACAACAACAACAACAGGAAAAAAAAAAAAAAAGAGTTTTAAATTTTGCCTTATTTTTGATAACGCTGCAGATCAGGGTACTGAAATTTTCATTACCATACAGATTTTATTCTTTCCACCGAACATCACTTCCTTAATCAGTCAATGATTAAGAAACGATATTCAAAGCCTGTAATGTCAGTTATGGCTATATTTATAGGAATAAAATAGTCGACAAAGGAACACGCGACATACTAATAACAATCTGAAGCAACTAAGACACTGCATAGAAATGATTAAACTCGCATGGGAGCAAATGTATTCATGAACAATGAATGCTTCCTGGCATCAGCGCTAGCAGAAGTTGTCAAAAATTTTAGAAAATTTCCGTCGATTGAAAATGAAGCCAAGGAAATCATGCAAACTGCAAAAGGAACTGGGAGCGAAGGATTTTCAGTTATGGAAGAAGTCAAAGAATTAGTCAAGAATGACAATTGTGAGAGTATAAATGAAGATTTGGATGATCTTGTAACACCAGCCGAGGGTAAAAACAGCGATAAAAAGAAGTGAAAAACATAAAGAGCCTTTAACTTATAAGAAGTTAAACGATTATTAAAATAGACAGAGGAACTGTCTGATTTTATAATAAAGATTGACCCAAATGAAGACAGAAAGGAGATGACTCTTTCTGAAAGGTATTGATAAACTTTACGCTCTTTACAGCGAACAGGGAAGCGTTATCAGCTGCGTCAGACACTGATCCAAGCAAAGATTCCCAGCTATTAAAAAAAAAAAAAAAAAAAAAAAAAAAAAAAGTATTATGTACCTAGTTAATTAAGCAATAATAGAAATCCTTTCGATAACCATTTATTTCATTGTTATTTTTATTACAATAATATCTTCAGTTTGTATCTTCAGTTCAATCTTCAGTTTGTATGAATTATACATAATATTTCTTTATCTGAACCCTTTTTCCCAGTAGAAAAGTTAACTTTGTGGAACGGGATTTTGCATTCGCGAAATGTGTAAATGACATAATGGCTCCCGCATTTTCAAGCGTTTACTGTACGAATAAAATTAGTAACACTGACAAAAGTCAGCACTGATATAAAATTTAATTTGGCTAAAATTCAGAGGGACTACTAATCATACATGTCAAAAACAGTAGATGATTTTGTTTTTCAGGGTTTTTAATTGGATATTTTATGATAGAACTCATAGAGCATTAAAGCTAAATAAAGGAAAATTTATTAGAGCAAAACTCATATTTTTTTATATTTATGATTTCTTTTTGCTTTATTATTTATTCTTATTGCTTATTAGCCATTTATAAATTTCAAAGAAATTTTATTATTCATTAAACTCTTACTCAATATTAATAAAATTAATTTTATTATTAGGGCGCTTTGACGAACAAGGAAGAATGGCCTCAGTTGCAGATCGTATTTTTTTCAGCTCAGCCATCCCAGAAAATTTCGGCATTGGTCCATGAAGCTTTACTCACAATAGAATTAGCATATGTGCGCAAAGTACACGTGAGTTATATTTTTTAGACATTAGATTGAAATTATATGGTTAGTAATTAATAATGGCAATATATATGCCATTCTTAATTACTAACCATAAATATTTCTGCATAAATTCTTATGTAATAACAGTGTCCAAAAAATTCTACTTTTAAATAAAAGGAAGAACAAATTATGATCATTAAAGCGCCTTCACAACATTTACTTAAGCTCCTAGAAAATTCTGCTCAGTCATTCACTTATAAAGAGTTGAACTTTTTATCTGACAAAAAAGATGAAACGCATATGAAATAGAGAGTTCCTATTGACAATTAAAATTTCGTTTTGCGAACGGATTTCTTTTTCCCGCTTTTTTTTATGGAAATACATTTGGTATGTTCGCAATAGCCGAAAAACCTTGCCTTACTTATAATTAAAAAAAAAAAAAAATATTAACTTTCATGAATATAAACATAAGTAGTTAGTTAAAATACAACAACTTGAATTCCTTTAATTTCTTCGTTTCTTATCACTATTCCTGAAGAAAGAATAATGCTCTAATGGAAAACTCTGTTATATATATATATATATAACAACATATACGTAATATATGCAACATATACTATATATGTTATATATCATATTTACAAAATATATTATATATACATATATACAACTGTGATTATATATTCCTGGAGATGCATTCAGCATTGAAATGTTCCAATGCATTATGTACACTGCGGAGAAGAAAAAAAGAATACAGTTCTTTATCTCCCCTTTTACTAGGCCGACTGAGAAATTCAACTTGCGTTTTTCATGTCTTGAAAGCACGACTTAGGATATGTATTAGATTTATTATATATTCAAGTGTGCTAACTTTATAAGTTTGTTTTCTAAGCCAATTTAATGATTAAAAAAAAACTTCAAAATTAAATATTTCCTTATAACAGGGAAAAAAAGAAAGACTCACTGAAATAATAATTATTTTTTTCTTTTTTAATTATATCCGCAGATTGTCGTTCTGAGGTCCCAGAGTAACTATTCATCTCACGGTAGCAGTGAAATTAAATCAACAGAAGGGCAGGAGTCGCCAAATTTATTTGAAAACGATGAAACGGATAGTATAATCAGAAGTCTTTTGCACGTTACGGAGGTCAGTTCTGATACTAAAGTGTTATTTATAAGATAAGGATTTTCAATATTAAAATTGTTCATTTCAAACTGGTATTGTTTGAAATAGAATAAATTGCAACGGTTAATTTATTATTTACGTAGTAGTAGGTACACGTAGGTGCATTTTAAAAAAATTCTATATTTAAATTTGCAGTGTAAATTTTTAGATCCAACAACGGCATTTTTGCAGCGCAAAACACATCGAGCCCATAAAAAAAAAAAAAAAAAAAAAAAAACTGTTATTTATTTAGTGATGAGAAATACGGTGGGGTACTTCCCATAACAAATGCTTCAAGTAATGAACGTTCTGCGTAACGAATGTGTATGTCGGCATAACTGTGCAGTATAACGAAACCAGCCTCACATTACGAACCACAGTCGTTACGAAATTGAGTAGTGCTCGAAAAAGATGCACAACGAAACTTATGTAATAAAAGACAAAAGAAAGTTTGCTTAGGTATAAGCCCACGGAAAACAGATTTATTGTGGCCTTTTTATACAATAGTGGGAATCTGAAGCTGAATTCTCTGTTAGTATATTACTCAGGGTATCCTAAGCTTTTAAGAAACATTATAACGTTATTAAACCAAGGCTCCTTATATTGCGGAGACCGCGAACCAAAATGTTTGGATCGTCTAATATTTAGGAAATCTTTATAACCTATGTTAAAAGATATTTCATAACGAAAGGTCTTGACACTGAACAAGCGCTTGCTAACGCGCCTGGTCAATCGAAAAATTTGCTGATATCTGGAGTTTGAGTATACTTAAATATACCCAAAGCAGCTTCTCTGTATTGGATCAGCAGATGATTGCCAAATTCAGGAAACTCTATACAAAAGATAAGAAAATTAAAACTATGCTCATAAAATTGAAGGAATGGGGAGATCTTGTCTTTGGATAGTTCCAGCTAAAATGTATAAATTTCCAGCGAAACTAATAGAAAATAGCTCAGAAAATGTATGAGTAAGTCTGTTTTCTTCACTGCGCATCATGCGAGCTTCATCTTAATGATTGAAATTTTTAATAGCAGTAATTTAGTGACTTAAAATGCCCCAGTTAAATGCAGTGAGTTTGAATCCAGTGATTTAAAATGCACACAAAGTTGAATTCAGTGACCTAAAATGCACACAAAGTTGAAAAAGAATATTCTGGCAAAGAGTTGGAAGGCTTCAAATCCTGCAATCACAGAGCCCAGCTATTAAATAATCCAAATGAAAATCTTTTGCGAATTTGCGCTTTTGCAAATCTAGAGCTTGAAAACTTCAAAATTATCTGCGACATTTTAATTCTGCAGTTTGAATCTTGAAAAATCCGGAATTTTCTCTTTGATGCAATTGATTCAATAATAAATTTTGGAAGCAAATATAGCGGACTCTGAATTTTGCGAATTCATATACACCGTAAAAATTTCGTAAAAAAGTCAAAAAGTTAGTAATTAGAAATGCCATGCTAAAGAACATTAACTCTTGAGTACCAAAGCAATAATCGAAAAAATGTGTAGTTCATAAATTAGAGGTTCTGAAATAAGAAAGTGCACTATATAACAAGCTAAAAAAATTTCAAGAGAAAAATTTAGTGAAATTTATCTTTTAGTCCAATGATGAGGAATGCTCTATCATAGCAGATTACCTTATAAATGTTACTTCGTTGCCTGCATTTAACTGTTAACTCCGGAAACACTGAATACCTTTTTAGTAGTATTCCTTTTCGTATTTCATGTGAATATCAGTTTTTGGTAAAATGAACAATTATAGTCTCTGTGGTCATGAGAAGTATAATATTAAATAACTACTTCGTATATCTTCAGTATTTTCTCTTCTAATTCACACATAAATGAAGGCAAACTTGTTCTGTAAAGCTAAAAATATGACTTATCAAATAAAGAAATAAATTTAAAATGTTACTTTTCATCAAAATTAACTATTTTAACCTGCATATTTTAATTAGGTTCAGCTTAAGTGGACTTCAATGAAGTTGTTACCTTCTAACTAGTTACTAAAGTAGCTCGTGACTACATAAGTAACAAAGGCTCATAAATAGACAAATGTTTTAAAACTGGGCGAAGAAAAATGGTTGAACGAGTTTTTGAATTTTAAAGAAATCACGCTATAGAATTTTTTAACTGAAATTAAAATGCAATTTATTACCATACTAAACTATAAGAATTTAAGAGTTAAAAATTTACTAACTGCCGTTGTTTGCTTAAAGAAAAAACAACTTTTTATGCTTTTGTTATATTTTTCCATGCATTTGAAAGGGATAATTATTGGTATATTTAGTACTTCTGTATACTGTAGTTTAAGTGCGCCGTTTATTTAAGTTTTTATTTCGGGTAAGGGGAATTAGCAATAAATTTCAGAAAATCACAAGCTATTTTTTGCTTAAACTAATGAAAATATATTTTCATTGTCAATATAAACTTAGATGCTTTTCAGATTTATGTTTATTTCATTATAGGTAAAATGCATCTCCGTTCATATGAAGACGTTAACCGTTAAAATTAATTCTGTAGGTTTTGCCACGCAAGGTGGAAAAACTTCAGTATTATTTTATTTTTCTGTCATATGACTGATTAACAATGCTAAGTATTCGAAATTGTATACCCGAGGGATGCTTTCGTGGACAATCGTATTAGAGGAACTGCCTTCGCATTTGCACTCTACATGGAGGAAACTTCCATCCTTTTCAGCTTATGAGGTTAAACTCAGTCGTGGAAAATAACGGAACTTGAGATGAACCGTCACTCTTCCATGGCTTGAACCCTTCAACTAATCGTAGAGCAAGCACAGTACACAATTAGTAACTTAAACATTTAGAAGAACTATAACGTGACAATGGTAGTAAACGTTTTGATTGAAAATGAGTAAATTTAACTGTGACATTACCTTATACTCTTATTTTTTGCATTTCAGTGAGCAGATTTACAACGCTTGGCCTAGAATATTTTAATTAAATTATTGGAATAACGATTCTAATTGTTTATTTTCTTGAATATCATCTATTTCTTCTCCTGAATGCGACTTAAATCGGTCAGATGTCACTAGATGGCGACACATATGCTAACAAGACACTGAAAAGTAGAATGTGCAATCGTAAATGTTTTTCGATACCAGGCAAAGTTTGCAATGCCGACGGAAACGAGTGAATATGTGAAATTTTATGAGCAAAAGTTTTTAATTTTTATAAAGATAACAACTGCCTGCCTATTTTAAGAAATTCAAATTTTTATTTTTTATATTAATAATCCTTTTGCCGTTTATTACATTTTTAAAATTTTTAATAAGCACGAAACTTCCCTCATATTAATTTCATTTACAGCTGGCTTATGAAATCCGAAATGCGTGTGAGGCCAGAGACAAATTGCTTTTTAGAGATACCTCACATTTTTCTCCGAAATGACTTCAAAAATCTCTTATTTGCAGTTAGTAAGTTAACATCACATAAAAACTGATTTTGTCGCTTCTTTCGAAAACTTTCTGAGCACCGTCTTGCTGACGAATTATATATGAAGAAACTGAAGAGAAACATTGCCTCTGTATTTAGTAGAACAAAAAAACTGTTTTCCGTGCCTGTCAAATTTTGGCAGTCATTTCCAAAGGATATTCATGTGCTCAACAGCTGGACACTTGCAGATTAGGTAATAATAATTACTTGGAAATGGTTTATTCCACTGCTTACTTCGACGTCTCATCTCGAGAACGCTGTCCAGATTACACCACAGAGGATCTATCCCTTTTACGAAACGAGCAGGGTACAGCTGGCTGCTATGATTACATCAATAGTAGAAAGGAAAGCTCAGGGTAAGTTATTTGGATTGTGGGGAAGCCTACGAGGGTTATCTGCCTATAGTAGAACTGCCTTCGTGGAGGAAGGCCAGTTTGTATTCACTCATAGAGAATATCATATTTTACTCACAGAGAAAACACCGTCTTGTGTCAATTCTGTCATTGAATTAAAGACTTCATTGTCGAATCTTTCTGAAGTTTATTTTAAATCCCAAATTTTTTTTCAGAATTTTCAATTGTTTTGATATAATTTATAAATTTTATTAAATTACTTGATAATATAAATCTAATAACATAGAAAATATTAATGTTAAGCAATGACTAAATATTAAATGCTTGTAAGTTAAACGGTTTAAAAGCATTACAAGCCTTTTTGTTTAATTATTGTTTATTCAATGTAAAGCAAAATTTACCATATTAAATACAAATTACATTTCACATTTGAAATGTAATTTATAAAATTTTAAGCTTGAGAAGTAATTTAAAAAATTAGTGCTTATACATGCAAACAAGAATAATACATAATCATTGTGCACTAAAAAATACTATTCTTTAATTAAAAAAAAATACTATAATTATATTATTTACATCCAGCTTTTATTTAACAGTTTGAGATCCATCGATTTGCTGTTTTAATTAAAGATCTTGAATTTCAGCATTACCGATTATAGAACGATATTTGTTTCTTTTTCAGATTGAAGCAAATGCTTACCAACTGGAAAATATTATCAAATGTTGTTTGCATGACTGTAGCACAGATTCTGATCACCTACGACTGATGCTGGATCGAGTAACTTTACGGTGTGATCTTCGAGAATGTGTATTAAACGCTGAAACTCTGCCAGCTGCTAGTCAATTCTTCTTGTTTTCTGAGACAAATCACCTTCAGAATACCGTTAAGCCGAGCGTTTCTTTCAAGAACCAGTGCCCTCCTAAAGTTCCCGTTTATATAATGCAAGTAGTTGCCTTGATTCGCAAAGAAGGCTTGTGCGAATCATTAGTATTTGGTCATCCATATATTACCAGTAAGTTTCATAAAACATATAAATATTATAATGCGTCAGATATAAATATTTTAAGTTTCAACAGCATATTTTTGTATCCTTTTTATTAATTCCCTGATGCGGGTTATTAATATCTTCTTTCGTTTATTATTATTATTATTATTTTATGGCCTTAAATATCAATAATCATTGACGAAATTTTTATCTAAAATTCCTTTTAAATAAAGTAGTGGATGCCATGTAGAGGTAATTCAAATATTCCCTGCATATACAGCAAGTCAGGAAGCATTGTCGAATATCAATTGCCAAATGTTTCAAAAGATTAAGCCCCCCCTTTTTTTCTATGTTAATATCCTACCAAACCAAAACTCAGGCATTGCTTTATATTTCTACCAAATTTCACGTGGTAAATTCCTTAATTAACGCGCTTCAGTGCTTACAATATTTCAGCATTGCAGATTTTTTTCTCCAAGACGCATCTGATACTTTAATAGATTACAGGTATTATTTCCAAAAACTAAATAATATCCTACATATGTAACTCTTTCCAAGCAAAATAAGACAATTTTT